CCGCGGGAAGCCGGCTGGGGTGGACGAAGTGAAGGGTCTTGAACCGAGTGGTCTACAGGAGCCAGACAGGCTTCGCTCAAGGCCGGGCTGCTGGCGACACAGATTGGGCACAGAGCTTCTTCCCCGGGAGGCAGGTGTTGGGTGTCTTTGGGGTCTCCGGAGGAAACCAGAGAAGAGCTCTAACTACTCCCCCAAGGGAGGCCTCGGGGCCTGTCCTGGAAGGGCGGGTGGTAGCCAGTGTTTTGGGGGCAAACCCGGTCCTCTTCCTCCACTGGATACCCGAGATAGCGCTAGCCTGCGAGAATCGCCCCTCTCTGGATTCTCCCCCGCACTCTTTGTTCAGTGGCCTGGTCTTTTAGAGAAAGGAGCTCTTGATATGGAGCAGAATAACCCCCTTTTCAAGGACCGCAAAGCCGGGAGTCAAACTCAGAGTTCAGATGTTGAGATCTTTGACCAGATATAAAGTTGCCACACAGAGAAGCGCCTGTGGACCTGGAGAAAGACTTTTGTGATCCAGACTTGAGGCTTATTTACATTTGGCTATTCCTACGAAAATTCATAAAGCGTTCTGTGTTAGCTGCCATCCAAACTAAACGTTGAACTGAACGACACCCTTCACAGTCTGTATTTGGCCTATCTTCTCTTGAAAGGTTCCTTCCTTTATCTCATTTAGATAAGTCAGGTCTTTTTTGCTTCATTAACAACTCCTTTAATTAGCTGTAACCACATCACATGAAGATTGGATGTTATTAGGACCTGTCAAATGTGCTTAAGTTTCAGTCTCACTATACTAAGCAAGTTGCTTGACCTCCGTACACCTGTGTATTGTAGGTATAATATGAAAGCTTTGAAATAGGTCATCTTTCAGACTTATTCCTCTTGAAAAAGTCTGTGATTCTGTGAATTCTATGACATCACTCCCCTTTTCCCTACTCTTCCTCTTTTAAATTCATTCTCCATCTCTTCAGAGAAATGGGCATTGAGTAGAAGGTGGGAGTCCCTTTTACTGAAACAGCCTGGTTTGAAAAATATGGTTGTGTCTGAATTGTCTCTTCCCTGGACAAGAAAAATTCCCTCTGAATTACCTTTTTTTCCCTTGTGGTAACAGCAGAAACCAAGCAGCAACGGCCCTTGGAGAGAGGCTATTTATTGACTTCTACAGTGACAAAGACCTCGAGAAAGTCGATACTTCTGGCCTACGCTGCCATCATCCTACCACCCAGCCCAAGACAGCCTAGGCTGGACATTAGTGCCTCCCTCTTTGTTCCTATGTGATCACCCAGATCAGCACCTGACTGTTTATTTTCAAGTCTCAGAAACTCCGCCCCCAGATCTTCATATTCTGGTTCTCAGCTGCTCTTGAAGGTGAATGGAACCTTCCTTTTTAAATTCATTTCTGTATGGTTTTGTCTATATGTAGATGCATGGAGGTTCTTATATGTATCTGCCCTTTGGCTTAGGTATCTAGTGGACAGTTCATTCATTCCCTCATTTAATAACTGTGTATTAAGGGGCTGACAATTTAGGCAATAAAAAAAGTCAAAGCCTATGCCAACACAGAGTTTACTTTCTGGTCGGAGATAAACACAATAAACAAACTTTTTGTATGTCAGAATGTGATAAGTACTATGAGAAAAATAAAGCGGGGAAGGGCGATGCATAGTGCTAGTAGGTATGTGTTGGTGTTTTGCTATTTTATATAGATGGTCAAGGTGACCTTAGAGCAGATATCTGAAAGAGTGAAGGAACAAGCCTTTTAGATATCGGGGTGAAAAGCATTCCAAGAAGGGAGAACAATAGGGACAAAGGCTCTGTGGTGGGAATATGCTTGTTATGTTTGAAGAGTAGCAAATAGGCAGTTGTGGAGTCTCAGGTAATCTTCCCGATCACATTTAGAATCGACTTTTTAGGGAGAGCCCCTGCAAGAGTCCAAGAATAGTCTCTGATTTTTTAAAAAACTTTTTATAATGAAAATTTATAATCTTCGGCCATGCCACCCTGTACGTGCCCAATCTTGTCTAATCTCGGAAGCTAAGCAGGGTTGGGCCTGGTTAGTACTTGGATGGGAGACCACCTAGGAATACCAGATGCTGTAGGCATTTAAAAAAAAAATGAAAATTTACAACTATATGCAAAGGTAGAGACTACAAGAAACACTCATGTACCCATTACTCAGCTTCAGCAGTAGTCAGCATTTTGCCATATTTATTTTGTCTGTCTCTTCTCCCACCATCTTTTTTTTTTTGCTACTAGAACAGTATTTAAAGCAAATCTCAGATGTCAGCTATTTCATCTCTAAGAACTTCACTTACAGTTTGCTTCTGCATATTTTGATGGGTCAGGCAGCACTGTCAGCTGGGGCACTGCTATGCTATTTGACCTGGCATCATTGTGCCTTATGTCCCCATCCTGGATCTGTTGCCAGGCTTAAGTTTAGGTATCTGAGGAACAGACTACAGGCCCTTTGAACACACAAGGATTTAGAACAGTAGTTCTCAAATTTTACTGTGTATCAGAATAACTTGGTGGGCTTGCTAAAACACATTACTGGACTCCATCTCTGGAGTTTCTAATTCATTAGGTCTCAGTATGGGTCTGTGAGTTTACATTTTTAACATTCCCTGGTGATAATTGATGCTGCTGATCTACAAAGCCCACTTGAAAACCAGAGATCTAGAAACTTAAGGTTCAACAGAACCATATTAGAGACCAAGAACAACTCTGTTTAAGGTTGGAGTGGGTGAGACTGAGATATATGCAGCTAGAACAGTGAAGTCGCTTTTGTGAAAGGACTAGGGGTTTGTTTTTTTCCTGAGCGTTCGTTGGGATCATTACTGCATTTTTCTTTGCAGAGTAGGTTCCAAATTGAGTCCAGGGCATTATTTTGGCCATGACAACTCAGACCATGTCTACCAGAGAATGTTCAGTGTTGTTGAGGGCTCTTTAAGTTAGCTGTGATTATCATATAAAGGCTTATTGTGATACCGTTGTTGAATAAGAAATAGTGACTCAATTTGGGGAAGAAACTAGGGGTAAAAAATCCCAAAAGAATCTCATTCTGATGGGAGTTGGTACTGTGAGGAATGTACTAAATGAACTGACATGACAGAGTAGCATAAGCGTTTGGTCCTGCCACCATCACTTTTTGCTTCAGGATTGATACAATATTATGAACTAGAGTGGAGACTTGTCCCAATCCCAACTCTTCAGCTTGAATGGAACAGTAGTGCCTTATGTTTCTATAGTGCTTTCATGGTTCATTATCTTTGAAGAATTATGTATACAAGTGTGCATACATGCTTACAAGTATGTTTCTTTATGTACAGATGTCTGTATATGTGTATAATAAAGGTGACTTCGTAAATGTGTGCTTCTGTATATACCACCTAGCTTTTAAGTGTGACGAAACCAATTGTTGTCTACTTTCCACAGGACAGTGACTTGTTATCACCACAACCGCAGAGCCTGCCATCCTCAGCAGATCTCCAGTCAGCTCCTGATATCACTCCCCTTCCTTGTCTGCCTTTGGGGCCTCCTAAATGCCCATCTCGTTGGCCTGGCTTCAGCTGGTGGTATGGAGGGGTGCTGCCTAGCACTGACCTGGGAGTGTGTGTGACCCACTGATCCAATGGTGAGAACTGACTGCCCACCCCTGCAACTGACCATCGAGGGTAGAAGGGACAAAGCGCCCACCTCACCTTTTCCTGGTTATTTTCCCTTTTGGAAGGTATAGTGGCTATATGAAGTTGAAGGAAGGAGAAGGCATGGAAACAATATTACTTGGTGTGTATATAGGTGAATTTTCTTGGGAAGGAAAGAGATATAAAGGGAGTGATAAAACAAGAGAGCTTAGATATGCTTTGGAGCTGCCTTGAGTCCCTAGATGATTCTAGAGGAGGCCAGCTTATACTAGAACCTAGATATGCCTAGGAACCAGCCTTGACATTGAATTCTTCTGCATTCTTCCCTCATTGCCTACCAGGCCCTCAGTCATACTTGACACTTAAGAAGGCCAAAATTCCCTACTGTTTTTCCCCATACCACCAAGTCAGAACTAGGCCATGGATATGACCAGATCAGGAAGAAGGAGATGCTCCCAAAGGGCAAGGTGAAGGGAATGAAGGGATTAGGGCCTCACTTATGCTATCCCAGGGAACTTCCCATTCTTTGTGAAGATCTGTTTCCAGTCCTATCATTCTACTTCATTTCATGGGTTAACAGGGACCAGCAAAGGGTTGTATCCTTATTTCTCATTACTAGGACATCAAAGGCCAGTTCTGGAATGATGATGATTCAGAGGGAGATAATGAATCAGAAGAGTTTCTTTATGGAGTTCAGGTGAGATTACATCCAAGATCCATGTTGGACAGTCAAAATGTGTACTCTCTGGATACATCAGGAGTGAAAGAGATTATTCCGGACCAGAGATATAATGTTGATGTGGTCTGAACATTATCTTTTCAAAGATGATAGAGCCTTGCTCTTTCCTGGGACTCATTACCTTTCAGAGTAAACTACATCCTCTGTACATGGAGGCTACCCTTGTGTTCTTAGTTGGATATAATTATTTTCTGGCTCTTCCTTAATTAGCCAGTGGAGTCATTTTAATCATAGGGTCAAATTTTTAAAAAATTACCCTGCCAGTGATTGCTTAATGCCATCACTATCCAGGGCATTAGCCTGAGCAAGAATGTTGGACTCTTCCGACAGGACCACTCAGTTAAATGCTATATTCAGTCTATTCTGAGTTCTCATAGAAGGGACACCTGAAGTGTCCTGGTCAAGGTCAGAGGAAAAGCTGGAAACTTAAGGATATGAACTTAGGCAAAGCTGCCTGTAGTTGGACTACTGAAACTTCTTAGAGTGGTAATGGGGCAGACTTGTCTGTCAGTGAAATCCCCAGCAAGGGCCACCACCAAGAGTCCCTTCATGTATGCAGCTTTTTGCTTATATGTACTGCTGTTGTTTGATTTTCCTATTCCTGGTGTTTCTTCAAGTTCTTTTTATTTTTCACCTCTCTCCCCATCTGTCTTCTTCCACTCTCCCAACTGTTTTTGCTGCTGATTCAGGGGAGCTGTGCAGCTGACCTGTATCGACACCCACAGCTTGATGCAGACATTGAAGCCGTGAAAGAGATCTACAGTGAGAACTCTGTATCCATCAGGTGGGACTCTACTTCAGAGGTGGCAGGGGAGCAAGCTATTTCTTTCTGAACTATTAAAATGCTAGAGGGTTTTTCTTTTTATGATAGGGAGTCTGTGGGCATTGATAACTTACCAGCTTAGTGATAGTGAGAATTGCTCAAAGTACTTAAGCTTGGCTGACAGGAGTAAATAGGGAAATACAGCTGCTTTCCTTAGAAATTCCCTTTTATCCTTGATCCCTCTAGGCTGATAGTTTCACCTTTGAGGTAAGAAGAGGCTTCTGAACTAGAGAAGGCCCTGATCATGTAGGCCTAGAAACTGTAGCCAAGAGTCTATATACAGAAGTACCTCTACCTTTCCCTCTCCCTGGCCCCAGGCTCAGTTCTCCCTCCACCTCAGCATCTGTTCCCTTCTTTTCTCCCTTAATGAATCTCACTTGTGGTCACCTGTATCTCTATAGAGAATATGGAACTATCGATGACGTGGACATTGACCTACACATCAACATCAGCTTCCTCGATGTAAGTGGTACTAGTACCTGCCAACAACATGTCTAGCTGGACTTGTGGATTTTGTTATGGAGGCCAGCAGTCATGTTCCTGACTGCTGTATTTGGAACACATATTCTTCATCCCTGTCTTTCCTAGGCCATCAGAAGACAGTGGTGTGTACTGTCTTGTGCATGTGCGTATCATACAGGAAAGACTCCAAGTCCATTCCTCTCTGTTACTAAACTGGAAACTATTTCCCGTACTCTTTTAGGAGGAAGTCTCTACAGCCTGGAAAGTCCTTCGGACAGAACCTATTGTGTTGAGGCTGCGATTTTCTCTCTCCCAGTACCTTGATGGACCAGGTAAAGGCCGTGACTTTGGGCAAATGGGTTCTCTGAGTCTGATTTAATGCAAAGTCCTAAATTAAGCAAGACAGAGAAAAGCTAGAAACAAGACCCTCGGGTGTAATCTGCAGGCCATTGGTAGGGGCTTTCAGTCTCTTCTCATTGGTGTCTTCATTACTGGTTACCTGATAGCAGTCCCCTCAAATCCTTCTTGGTTAATGAAATTGTTTTCTCTGGATATTACTTATTCTTCCCCTTCCCTTTAACTTCCTCATAGAAGTTGAAGACATTTGAAGTTGGCCAGGCAGCTCCCAGAATTTCCCCTCTGCCACAGATGTTTTCCTTCTCTATTACTGTTTAAGATACCTTTAGGATCAAGGAAGCTAGTCCACTGAACCTGGGGCTTTGAATTCCCAGGAGGATAGAGATATGTACGTACTAGGAGCTTTCTTTTCTCTTTGCAGAACCATCAATTGAGGTTTTCCAGCCATCAAATAAGGAAGGGTTTGGGCTGGGTCTTCAGTTGAAAAAGTAAGAACTTTGATATTTCTGGTTATGGACATATGAGGGAATGAGAAATGGACATATGTGGATGGACAGGCAGACCTTTGGATGGGATGTTTCCTTCCAAAAATGTCTTTCTGAGATATGCCCAAGAAAGACTAAAATAAATTTGCAGAGCCAAATTTATGATTAGGCAGAGGAGCTTGTGGTTCTGGGGTATCTGGCATTGAGACTTCTTGGAGGTAAGAGGAGAGGCTCATCAGTACTTAGTATCTAAGGAACAGTACAATCCTGGAATTAGAGCCATGCTCTTCACATTTCCTCTTGTAGTTTCCTCACAGTGGGTCTGTAGGAGCTAGACAGTTTAAGTATATTAAATATGTTGAACTTGCTAAGTATTTGGTATACAAAGAGAGCTGAACTAGATTTTACCCTCAGTGAAGTTCCGAAAAGAGTCCAGTGGATCCATGTTCTAATACAAGTGAATATGGAAGTTTTTGAAGGAACACAGAAGAAGGAGTGGCCTATTCTGGGGGCAGGTGAAGGGCTCTGAATGAATGGGAGATGATTAATGGTTTTCAAGGATGGATAAGAGTTGCCCATGTAGACAGACTCTGAGAATGAATAACATTTGCCAGGTCATAGTCATGTGAAGCAGCATGTATGCAGGAAGCTTCAAGTAGTTAAATATTGCTAATAAAATGCAAGAGAAAAGTGGTAGGAACTGAAGCTAGAGAAATAGGAAGAGGTTCAAATCAGAGAGGGTCTTGAGTGCTTATATTGTAGACAGTGGGAGCGTTGAAGGGCTTTAGGAAAAGAAAGGACGTGGTCTTTTTAGCTGTAGAAAAATCATTCTGGTAGCATTGTATTAAGTAGGAGGGAGTGAGATTAGAGACCAGAGCTAGTTTAGTAGGAGGCTTTCGTAGAAGACCGGACGTGAGATGAGGGCCTGAACCAAAGTGTGACTATAGGTGAAAATTAGAGATGATAGACTACAGAGATTTATGGGGTATAAAATCAATAAGACTTGAAAATTGACTTGGATATGTTGCATATGGTCATAAGCCAAGGAATAGTGGAAAGTTACTCCTGGGTTTCCATCCTAGATATCTGCATAAATTGTAATACGACCAGTTTAAATAGGGATTTAAGAAGAGAGGCAGGTTTGTGGGATTGAGGATAGATAATTAGTTTTATTTTAAACATGTCGTTTAGAGGTGACCTTGGTATATTCAAGTGGAGATGCTTAATATGAAGATTTGGTACTTATAGGAGACATTAGGGTTGAAGATATATATCGGTGTATGGGTGGAAATTACAACCAGTGTAGAATATGAGATTGCTAAGAGAGAGCATGATAGAGTGAAAAGAAAATAGGATCAAAGACAAAACACCCTTTAACACTCAGACAGAATACCCAAGAAATTAGCAGCGTAGGCAGAGGAAGAAGAAACACTGAAGGGAGGTCAGAGAAGTTAGAGAAGAATGGGAAGAGAATAATGTCACAGAAGACAAGGATAAGAGTTTCTACAAGGAGGGCCAGATGCCAGAGAGGATAAGTAAGAGCAAAATTTAGGAATTTCTGTTGGATTTACCATCGAGGTGAGAATAATTGCAATGGGGTGGCAAGGGTAGAATATATTGAGAAATGAGTGGTTGGCGACAAAATAGAAATAATCAGTATGGATCGAGTAACTTAGATGAGGATAGGAGGGGAAGCGGGAGAGGTAGCTAAATTGAGGGGCAGCAGTGTGAAACTTTTTGTAGACTTTGGGAAAGGATTTGACAGGAGAGGAGCATGATTGACGGATTAGTGTCCCTAAAGAGGCAAGAAGGAGCTGAGATCCAGAACACAAATAAAAGAATTGATCCTTAATAGGAGGGTTACCTTGTCTCCAGAGAATGGAGGGATGAGGTAAGGGTGGAAATGGAAATACATTTTGTAGTAGGGTTGGAATATTAAAGAGGCCGATATCTGATGACTTCATTTTTTTCTGTTAAGAAGGGAGAGAGTTAATTGGTTATAGGTGACATTGCTTAAAGAAGATGATAAAGATTTCGAATAATAGAGTAATGCTAAGGAGAATTGATTAAGGTCAAATGAAAGGATTGACGAGACTAGTTGAGGGCCCAACTAAAGTCAGAAACCATAAATTTGGGATGTGATTTTTCACGTAATAATGTCAGTACCTGTCATGTCCTTAGTCCTTTTCTTCGCTATTCCCAATGCAAAGGGTGGTACCTCTATCCTGCTACAGTATAGTCATTCTTGGCAATAAATTCCAAGGTTCACAACTTTTGAAGGCTCACTTTTGAGATTTCCCTTTAAAGGCAAAACATCTCAGAAGTTTTTTGGTCCAGTAGACTAGATAATAGGAGTGAGCATTTACCCTCCAGGGTAAAGAGGTACATTTCCATGTACTATGGTCATACGGGAGGAGGGGGTGTTCGGGCACATTTCCTTACCACAACTAGCTTTGGTGTCCCTGGGTCTGAATTTTAGATTAGGTGCCTTTCGTAATCCTATTTCTTGACTTACTCTCTTGCCTGAGTTTTCCTGAGCCTGTTTGTTTTGATTCCTTAGGATCCTGGGTATGTTCACATCCCAACAATGGAAACATCTCAGCAACGATTTCTTGAAGACCCAGCAGGAGAAGAGGCACGGTTGGTTCAAGGCAAGTGGTACCATCAAGAAGTTCCGAGCTGGCCTCAGCATCTTCTCTCCCATCCCCAAGTAAGTACTCCCCCAGGAGCTGATCATCTCTAATCACTTTAGTCTTGTCTAAGTGCCCACCCTACCTTCTTGATTACCTAAATTTATCTATTCTGTCCTCTCCCTAGGTCCTCTGAATTTTGTACCTTTAACTACTAACACCACCCACATAGTCCTGTCCTTTATGTATCTTTTTCCTTCTACTTCTGACCCTAATGGTCATACCTTGTGCTTTAGGTAAAACACAATACTTAACTCATGGTATACATTTGGAGAAATATATGCTATTCTCTCCATCTTTCCTTTATTTGACCCTCATCCTTATTCCCTCTCCTAAGGAGGCAAAGTCAGAGAACAGGCATCATCTCATTGCTCTTATGCTAGGGTATATTGATTTATTATCTAGTTCTAAAAATATTGGCTCCATTTTCTGGCCCCAGGACTACATCCCCCACTTCCTGTGCTTTCTGATCTTCCCAAAGGCAAATACAGACCCAGATTTGTAGCTTCCCAGGCACTGTTATTGACAGTCAGACATCAGGCTCTCTGGGATGAAAATGCTTCTTTCCTAGTACTGTGTTTAGCACTCAATCATAAGTGTGTAAAGACACACACACACACACACACACACACCACACACACACATATTAAGTAAAACAGGGACATCTTCCAAGGATCATTCCATACCTAGCCTAGATGCCACAGAGAGTGACCCAGGCTTTGCCTCTGCCTACCCTTTATCTTCCAATCAGAAAAACACACAGATAGTGACATGAAAATCAAGTCAGATGTGTGATCTACTTGTTTAACAGTGTTTAGATCCAGTGGAACTCTCTTCATATGTGAGTTCCTCTTTGGCTTAGGTCACTTCACTCATCTTGACCTAGGACCTACTTGTTTCCAAACCTCTTCTACAGCTCAACTGAATCCCCAGTTTTGTCACTTCTTGCTCTCCCAGGTCTCCCAGTTTCCCTGTTATACAGGACTCCATGCTGAAAGGCAAACTTGCTGTACCCGAGCTTCGGGTTGGACGCCTCATGAACCGTTCCATCTCCTGCACCGTGAAGAACCCCAAAGTGGAGGTGTTTGGCTATCCTCCCAGTCCCCAGGCAGGTCTCCTGTGCCCCCAGCACGTGGGCCTCCCTCCCCCAGCACAGACCTCTGCTTTGGTACATGGGCTGGGGAGGGTTTGACTTGGGTGTCAGGTGGGTGGGAATGGAATTGTGGGAGTACAGTTTCTCAAAATGGGTGGCAGTATGGTTTTTTAGGCATCATAAATCAAACCTGGGCATGTACCAGGAGTGAGTAGAATGGAACATATTTTTTTAATAGCTGAAAACATATCTAAATTGTTTGGCAAGCTTATGTTATAGTAGGCCATGAAGCAGAGAGTCTGGGGTTAGACATCCCAATAAGATGTCACATGATTTTATTAGGTTGTGATTAGGACTTGGCAGTCAACTGCTGTATCAGTCTCTTCTACCTACCTTGAAGAAGGTTAATGGCAGGTGAGCCCTTTTCAAGAACCTTTGGCAGAAATGTCTAAAGGTCTCTCCAGCTTTGGGATTACTTAGGCTGATCGGAGATAGGGCTTAGCTATTTTAGGAGAATCCAGGTTAACGGTGTGAGGGCTATCTAGGCGCCTGCTTCATAGGAGGCTTATGAGGTCTGTTTTTTTACTCTCATCAGGTCAGTGGTCACTGCAAGAATATCCCCACTCTGGAATATGGATTTCTCGTCCAGGTAAATCAAATCCAAAACTTCATTCCAAAGCTTTTCCCCTGTTGTCTGATGCATTTGATCCCCTAACATCTCCCAGCTCCTCAGTCAGTTAAATGTTTCCTGAGTTGCCCTCCTCCCAGAACTATACTAAATATGTGTATAGGAGAAAAGAAGGTATAGTTACTATTTCAAGAATGGTAACTCAAGAAGCTTTCAGCATTACTTGGAAGACAATACTTACAGACCATTTATGACCAAGTGCCAAATGATGCACTGCAAATCTTAAGTGTCAGGGTATCAAGATGAGAAAGGAAATGACACTAATTTCTTTACGATTTCCACCATCCTTGCTCAAGTAGTCCAGTTTTTCATGCAGACTTCTTTTCATTGCTCAGCCACTACTGGTAATTTCTTCTTTTCTAAATCTTTTTATTCCTTGGACGTGCTTTCACTTTTGATCTCTGTTACCTTTGTTTATGTCATTCCCTCCACTGGCCTTCCTTTCTATATGTGCCAATTACAGTCAAGGCTCAGTGTCACTTTTCCTATAAAATCTCCGTTACTCCAACTGTATGAATTACATGGAAGTGATGTCTTTTCTCACTGAATTTTTATGATGCTTTTTTTTTTTCCCCTTCTTTAATTCTCCCTCCCCACTTCCACCCCTGACCTATGGATGTTTCCATTTTCCCTTAAGAATTGGATCTCTGAAGGTGGGGCATCCACTCCCACCCGCTCACGGGGTGTACCCAGGGCCTGGCACACCCAGGGTATATGGTCTATGGCTCCACCTGGGGCGTGAACCCAGGACCTTTTGCATGTAAAGCAGATGTGCTAATCACTACACTATGGAGCCAACCCATGATGTTTTTTGTTTTATGTGGCATCTGTGTGTCACATACCACATCCTGCCTTGAATTGTAATTAATTTGTATACATACCGCATCTTCCCTATTGCAGTATAGAGTCTGAGAAGACAATCTTTTATATTATTGTATAATCAAGGAGACCTTTCACTGAGCTGGGTACATCATAGGCATTCAGTAAATGTGAATGAATAAAAGCCCTTGCGTATCTCTTTACCAGCCCCAGAGTATGTGAAATGGGAACAACTTGATTAATATACAAACTACCTGGCTGAAAAAGCCATGTTAAGACAGAGTGTTTAAAAAGATACTTTAGGATATTGCTGCATGAACTCTGGATTTTTGTCCTCTGCCCAGCACAGAGTTATATCTGTGATTGTGACCAGTGGATGGGGTGATTGTTCTAGGTAGTCGAAATGGCTTCTCAGGCCCCCCTGCCGTCTTATCATGAACTTAGTACTCACCTGTCCCAGAGAGACAATCTGTAATTACCACAACTAATGTTAATAGTTTGATTAATACCTGTTAATGTTTATAAAATACCTTCACAGAAATCATCTCATTACTCTGAATATCTCATTGAGGAGAATGTCTCACTTTATAAATGAAGAAACCAAGGCTCAGGTTAACTGGCTTTCCCAAAGTTATATGATATTAAGTAGTGACAAGGGGAATCTTAACCCAAGTCTTACCATGGCTGGTCTTATTTTTATTCTAATATATAGTTTTAGCTTTTAAAGTCAGGCCATCATCAGTTTAACTAAGAGCAGGACTCAAGAAGAGATTCTATCTTAGGCCCAGGGCTGGGAGAGTGGAGAGTAGCTGGAAAAGAATCTCTGAATTTTCCCCATATGTGTCTGTACTTCCAAAAGACTAGAATGTCTTCTCTCTCCAGATCATGAAGTATGCAGAGCAGAGGATTCCAACACTGAATGAGTACTGTGTGGTGTGTGATGAGCAGCATGTCTTCCAGAATGGGTCCATGCTCAAGGTATGGCCCCTGCTCTGTGATCCTCTTCCTTGGACCCTTCGCCAAGGCCCCTTCACTCTGCATCTCGCCTTTATTCCTTTCTTCCTGGGTCTCTGGTAAAGGTAGAATTCTGTCCATACTCCCTCAGACTCTCAAAATAATTGTTTTTCTCAAAACAAATCTCAGCAGTCTTGTTTGGAAAGATGAGTATATGTGATTATTTTTGAAGATATAATCCCCACCCAACATTTAAAAATTGGAATCAGATATTGACCAAAGTGATTGGATATGATACTGTCCTTAAGGACTTTCAAGTCTAGGTGGGTAGACAGACACTTGAGTATAAGTGTATAGAAGAGATATGAGCAGTGTTGTGGAAACTCAGAAGAGAGAGCATCTAACTATCTAAGGAGATCATAGAAGGTTTCATGGAAGAGACAACATTAATTCTCAAACTTGTCAGTAAGGCATTTTAATTAAGACTTCACTTATTTATAGTGTTCTCCTGACTAGAGGGCCCCAAATTCCTATCTCATTCTAACATCTGAGGTCACGATTTGCCCTCTCTTGCTACAACACTTTCTTGTTTTACACCCTTCCCCACCACTGACTGTTTAATATGTCCATTCAGCCAGCTGTCTGTACTCGTGAACTGTGCGTTTTCTCCTTCTATACACTGGGAGTCATGTCTGGAGCTGCAGAGGAGGTGGCCACTGGAGCAGAGGTATGGGAGAGGGAAAAGCTATAAGGAAACTGGGATAAAAAAGGCTGGGGAACCTACCACTTTCACTCCTTGGAACTTAACCTCCAGAAATGCTTTTCATATGTAAGGATATTCATGACAGTGTTGTTCGCAATAGTAAAAAAAAAGGATATAACTCCATCTGTAGGCAGTCCAATTAAAGAAATTATGGCATATCTTACAGCAGAAATACTATACAGGTATTATTTATGGATACAAAATTAAGAAAACAATAGTATGTATAGGACAATTCTTTTTTTAATTGCCTATATAATAAAATATTTCCACAGGAAAACTATCTGGAAAGATACACATTACACTTAACAATAGGTACTTCTGAGAAATGAGATTTGTTTGGGATGGGGGGTGATTTTTATCTTTTTAAATCACTGTAACTTGAATTTTTAGAATGAGTTTATATTTTCTAATTAAAAACCATAAATATTTGCTTTTAAAAAGAACAGCAGAGAAACATGCTGAGACTCCAGAAGGTAGACCTATGCTGGATACTGTGTGACTCATAGCACTGGGAAATCATTTATCTTCTGCCCCCTTTCTCTCCATTTCCCAAAGGTTGTGGATCTGCTGGTGGCAATGTGTAGGGCAGCTTTGGAGTCCCCTAGGAAGAGCATCATCTTTGAGCCTTATCCTTCTGTGGTGGACCCCACTGATCCCAAGACTCTGGCCTTTAACCCTAAGGTATAAGTTGTTTGGGAAGAAAGTCAGGGCTGGGGAACAGAAACAGTAAAAGATAATGGGAGACTATGAGCTGTCATTCTAGTTTATACAGCAGCTTAAAATAAGGGTCAGAAGAAATGAATCACTTGTTTCTTGGGAACTCTTGAACCCTAAGCTTTAGCTGATTTAGAGAATAAATAACTGAGTTTATCAGAAGAAGGGGAGAAGAATTAATATCAGTTATGTCATGAAAGAAGAATGTAGACTCTGGAGCAAGACTGACTTGGATTCCACTTGAGACTCTGCTGTTCCCCAGCTGAATGGTATTAGGCAAGTCACTTAATCTTTCTGAAAGAAAGATTCCATATTCTTACAAAGGGAATAATGTCTACCTTGCAAATTGTTATAGAAATAAGGGATAATATATGTAAAGTATCTCATTGCTCAGGGTTCTCCAGAGCAACAGAACTAATAGGAGATATATATATATAGAAAGAAATTTATTGAGTTGGCTCATATGATTTTGAAGGCTGAGAAGTCCCAGGACCTGCAGTCAGCAAGCCAGTGATGTAAGTTCCAATCCAAAAGCCAGAGGTCTCCAGATCCAAGTCCAAAGGCAGGAAAAGACCAATGTCCCAGCTTTAGGAAGTCAGGCAGGAGTTCCCTCTTCCTCTGCCTTTTTGTTCTTTTTGGGTTTTCAACTGCTTGGATGAGGCCCACCCAAATTAGGGAGGGCAATGTGCTTTACTCAGTCTACTGATTGAAGGGTTAATCTTATCTAGAAACATCTTCACAGACACGCCCAGAATAATGTTCGACCAAATGTTTGGGCACTCCGTGGCGCAGTCAAATTGACACAATTAACCATCACAAGTACCCAACAGTGTCTCACTATTATTCTCATTGCTATGTATCCTGTACTATACCAGGTTTTTTACATGCGTTATTTAATCCTCAGAACATCTATATGAGGATAGTGGAATTTTTATCTTCATTTCCACACAATAATACTGAGGTTCAAGGAACTTAAGTAACTTAATCTGTTATTCCCAGTTGGTAAAAAAGAACTAGCATGTGATTCTATAACTGTCCAACATTAAATCTGTGTTCTTTCTGTGACATTTCCCTGGGGCCTAGACATTAGCCCTCTTTTTCATCAGATCTTATTCTCCTCCACTTTTCTTCATCTGGTTCTTCTCTTCCTATTGATTCCCCACAGAAGAAGAATTATGAGCGACTTCAGAAAGCTCTGGATAGTGTGATGTCCATCCGGGAGATGACCCAGGTAATCTGCCCTTTGCCTGTTCCCTGCCTATGCTGCTCAAGTACCCTATTCTGCTTTGAATTCATGGGAATGGAGTGAAGATTTAGAGATGCTACTCAGATTGCTCACTGTGTTTTCTTTAGTCTTCTCTCTCTAGCCTTCCCAGTCCTGTTCTGTTTTGTTAGCTCTCTTACTCTTTCTCACTCCTAATGTCTCAGCCTTTACCTTTGCTGGTAATTCCTTCACAAGTTGTTCATATTTAATGTTTTTTTCATAATTCTTAGAGAATTAGAGAAGTAAGGGAATGACATCTGCCCAGGGTTGGGAGATTGAGGAGGGGGGCTTGGAGGTAAGGAAGTAGACCCAGGGGCCTACATCTTCTATCCTTCTAGGGGTGGGGCAGCCACATGGAGCAGTGACCATCCTTTGACTCAAGGCTGTCCCTCACCAGACTTCCCCACCCCCTCGTCTGCAATCTCTGCATGAATAGACATTCATTTGTACTCATTTTCAGGTGGGCCTCTTCTCAGCAAATCCTATATATCACAGTTCAGATTAACACATAAGATACTCCAAGGAGGGATAATTTACTTGTCAGAAGAACTCTGCTTTATGTAAAGTTTTACCACAGGATTTCTTAGCCTGTTCTTTCTTGACATTGATTGTATTTATTTTTTGGTTTACAACAAACTTTTTAGGGCTGTAGGAATTGCATAAAATGAGGGAGACCCACCTGCATGTTGTTTTGTAAGCATCTTAAGTCATTTTCATATTTATGAGTCTTCCTGATCTGACTGGGCTCCTTGTGGGTGGGAACCCCATCTCCTCTTGCCTTTGTGTGGCCTTCAGTGCCTGCCTTGCCCTGGGCCCTGATAGTCTGTGGAAAGTGGGAGGGCTTCCACCACTCCTGGAAGATAACCTTATGGCTGTTCTCTTACAGGGCTCATATCTGGAAATCAAGAAGCAGATGGATAAGCTGGATCCCTTGGCCCATCCTCTCCTGCAGTGGTATGGATAGAATGGTTCACCCTTCCCACAGTAAGGTCAGGGGCATGATATTAGACATGGAACCTGTACCTTTTCTTAGAGGTGGTTTCAGTCTTTTTCCTGAGGTTATAGGTATTATGGATGCTTTTCCTTGGGGTTCTATTGATATACCTAGCCTTCACAAGAACTCAAATCCTACAGGGAGCCCACAAATTCTGAGATGACGTTTCAACTTGTTTCCCAATAGGTTTTTGAGGGCCCCTTGCATGTAAGAATTAACACTCTTCATTTCAAATAAGTTTCTGTGGATCCAGGGAGGCCTTTGTCCCAATTCTACCCCCTATCCCTATCTCAAGGCCTTCTCTGTTGATGGAGACTGTTGAGGGCCTTGAGGCATTATTGTTTTTCCCTCTAGCAAAGATTCTCACCATTCTCTATAGCCCTCTACCCGCTGGCCTCCCTCTCTGATCTTGATTTCTCTTCTGTTTTCCTAACATAGTTCTTCCCTCTCTTCTTAGTCAGCCTTTGCTGTCAGTACTTTCTCAGTGCAACATGCTCCCCATTAATATGAGGAATGACTAGGCATAGACCAGCTGGGATGATATCACAAGTACATGGGTAAAGCACAAAAAAAACCAAACTGTATCCACCATAAGAGATAATGCTTTCTTACTGAGCCCTCAAGGTTTTATGCCTTTGTTCTCCGGTGTCCTCTGAGTTCAGCCTACTTATAATCTAGTGTATCCCTGAATTCTCAGGAAGGTTGTTCTAGTTTCTTGTTTCTTTCTCCAGCCCAAACAGTAACTTTCTATCCATTCCTCCCCATCCCTGAGAGGCTTTAGGCTTCCTCTAAGAGCAGGTGGGATGGCTCCTGAGCCCTAGTTCTAAATTTCTAAATCCCAAGGATAAGTTGTCACCATCCTAATACATACCTCTCCTTTCTAATTTTTTTTAGCACCTCGTATGTTCTTCCTTTTGTTCGTTCCTTTTCTCTCCCTAGTGTAGGAGCTCCCCTCCTACCCTCTCTTTCATCCATTGTTTAACTAGCAGTAACTAGATGGTCTCTGGTCAGTAGCTTTCCTTTTACATTTTTATACACAGGTATTACTACCCACAGGAATACTCAGATAGTGACCTGGCTATTTCACAAAATTCAGACAGCCCTGGAATCTTTGCTTCTTCTCCCAGGGGCACAGCAAGGTCAGCCTACCTATACATTTATTCTATCCTTCTCTTTTTTTCTCTGCTTTATCCTAGGATCATCTCTAGCAACAGGTCACACATTGTCAAACTACCTCTCAGCAGGGTAAGTGGCCTTTCTCCCTCTAAACACTTAATTTCTGGTGAGGGGCAGGGAGGGGGTCCAAACCAGCCAACCACATTGGTCCTAAACTTGCCTGGTTGGCTCTGTCCATCAACAATAGTCTTTGGGCCTAAGCATATTTCCCTTATTTGGGGTCATCGCAAGCTTAATTTGCTCCCTATCCCCAAATCCTTCCCTTCCTGATCTCCCATTCTGTTCTGTTTTCCTGACCCCACCCCCACCCTGGGCAGCAGCTGAAGTTCATGCACACCTCACACCAATTCCTCCTGCTGAGCAGCCCTCCTGCCAAGGAGGCTCGGTTCCGCACCGCCAAGAAGCTCTACGGCAGCACCTTTGCCTTCCAGTGAGGAGGGTGGAGGCGGGAGTTGGGTGTGGGGAGGCAACAAATAATGTAGGGCACTGGGAGGGCAAGTTCACTTAAGGAATGTGAGTTTGTGTTATCTGTGTCCATCAACCAGTCAGTTAACAAATATATATTAAATTCTATTGTGGTAGGTGCTGTAGAAGATAAAAAGGTACATATAGTCTTTACTCTTAAGCTAGCTACTTAGGATGTAGTTGAGGAGAAATTACATTTATATTTAAAAAAGATATGCTTGAAGGAACAGATTAGAGGGGATAGATTTTAAAGCTGCTTTTAAGGAAATCAGCAATTGATGTCTCATTGTGGGAGGAGAGCGAGAAAGAGCGATATTAAAGGTAATTTAAAGGGAGTGGTAGTACTATTTTCTCAAAATAGACATGAATTCAGGACCGGAAGCCATATTTGGGGTTAGTGATAATTTTATTGGGTTTGAGAAGAATTTAATTTGAAATGTAGGAGACTAGGCAAATAAAAATACTGAACCAGCAGTTGAGGATTTAGGATAGGACTAGCTAAAGCACAGAAGAAAAGATGGGACCAGAAATTAAGACGTACGGGTTAGCCACATATACATCTTGCATGCTGTGACTTATATCCGTGTGCATGTCCATTGCTAGGTCTATCTGTGTCCATCTTCATGTCCCATGTGGGTGAGAATGGGTGGGAGTGGCGGTCTTGGAAGTGTTCCTGGGAACCTCATACTGTGAGAAGACATGTATTCTATCCTGCCTTACAGTGGGTCCCACATTGAGAACTGGCATTCGATCCTACGCAATGGGCTGGTCAATGCATCTTACACCAAACTGCAGGTGAGGCTGTGCCCCTTTTCCCTTTCTCTCTAGCCCCCTTCCTGCACCCCTCAGTTTTAGGGAAGGCTGGTCTAGAGTACTCAGCTCTTTTTGCCTCAGCATCCTCAAATCTAGCTTCCCTAGGAAGTTGGACCTATATATATATAGAATGAGTGTGGCTATTGTATATTTAACCCAGGCAGGGTTTTTTGGTGGTTTGGGAAATGGCAGGAGTTTGAGTTGTTGATTACAACCATTAGATAAATTAACCTATTAGAACTTTTCAGTTTATGTGAGTATTAGTTCAGAGAGTTGATATAGGAGACATGTCTTTGCCCTTTCAGATTCCAAGGAATGGTAATTGTCCCTTCTGGTTACCCATTCTATCATCCCTTCTTTTGGGTGCGGGGAGGGAATCTGCATCTGTACCAAGATCTGAGGACAGAAGCATGGATTCTGAAGGACCAACTCAGTGGCTCTGCAATTCCTCACTCCACAAGGCATCAGTATCTAGTATTTCATAGGCAAAGGGGGTAACCTGCATCCAGTTTTCAGCCAATCAGCTTTTCAAGAGTAGCTGCCTAGAGTTATTTGAATGAGAGAGAAGGTAAATGGAGGGACAGAGGGCTGGATAAGCCTTGTGGCTGCCTAATACACAGCCATGGGAGGGCCCAGGCTCATATTGCTCATCCTGGTGTTTTCCTGCAAGCTGCATGGAGCAGCCTATGGCAAAGGCATCTACCTGAGCCCCATCTCCAGTATTTCCTTTGGATATTCAGGTAAGAAATACTCTCTGGCCGCTTTGACTATTTACACTGCATCCATTTTGTGAATACGTGATCTGTGCTGTCTCTTTTTCTTCCATCATAGATACATAGTCTGTTTTTCTCTATTTTCTCTCATTAGAAATTCAGATTCTTTACAATTTGAGGCCAGTTATCTCCCTTTCTCTTAGGTAGTCCTCTTATCCATGGGGATGGTTTTATTTATTGTAGGGGCTTGTCCCTTGAAATGTGTTAGGGAAAAACTGGGAGATGAAACTAGGCTTTTTGTATACCACATTTTTGGTGTTGGCAGTAATCTGTCATTATAAATTGTGTGAGTGCATATACGCATGTGAGTTTATGTGTGAATATATTTGAAGGCTTGAGTCCCTTCTGTTGGCCTATGTATCTAGAGATGTTCTTTTCCTGTTAACAAAATGGATATATTCTTAGAAAAATATAATTTAAAACGGACTTAAGAAGAACTAGAAAGCCTAAATAGCCTTAAAACTATAAAATACATTGAAATAGTAGTTCAAAATTTTATACACACACTCGCCTCAAACATAAGCTCACCTAGCTCAGATAATTTTCAAGTGATTCTTAAACCAGCCTTTTAAGGAATAAATTATTGCATAGTTTTATACAAAATCCAGAGCATAGAAAAAGGTGGAACTATAAATCATAAAAGATAGTTAAATTTTACTTTATTAAAACTTCAGAAGACACCTTAAAAAAGTGAAAAAACAAGCTACAAATCAGGAGAAGACACTGGCAATACATGGAAGCATGAAAGATTAGAAATAAAAGTATATTTTAAAAATTCTTACAAATCAATAAGAAAAACACAACCCAATAGAAAAATAGGCAAATAACATAAATGGGCATATCACCGACAAAATGACCAAAAAATAGGAAAAGCTGTTTAACCACTATTAATCAAAGAAGTAAAATCAAGACCAAAATGACTTACCATTTAGCACTCATGTGGATTGGCAAAAATTAGATCTGGTAATACTTCTGATTGAATCAGAGGTTGTAGAATCAGAGTCTCTTTTATTGTTTATGGAGATATAAATTGGTGTAATCACTTTGGAAAACAAGTTGGTATTAAATTTCATAAAACTCAGAAATCTTATCACTTTGACCCAGCATTTTCATTCCTGCATATGTGCACCCAACAATGTGTTTAAAGTGATACTGTTTGCAACAGTAAATCTTGGAACCAACTCAAATGCTCACCATCAGGAGAATGGATAAATACATTTTAATACATTCTAACAATGGATTATTTAGCAATGGAAGTGAACAACGGTGACCCTTAACAATAAGGAAAAATTTTAGTGATGAGTTGAGTAAAAAAAGGCAAGCCCAGAAGACTCCTGTATGCTGCCTTTTTTGTATTGCTCAAAAGCAGAATTCAACATCATTTAGGCGTGCGTGCGTGCGTGCGTGCGTGTGTGTGTGTGTGTGTGTGATAAAACTGGATGGTGGTTATCTCCCAAGGGGAAGCAGATAGTTGAGATAGGGTAGGAGCACAAAGTTAGATTTAAGTCATAGTAATATTTTAGCATTTTGATTTAGTTTTCAGGTTGGGTCTGTAGGTATTCATTGTCCTATTAAATAAATGGCAGTGTGTCATGAATCCACACAGGGTAAGTGCCCAATAAATATCGAATGCGTGAAAGGATCTTATTCTGAGTACCTGGGTCCAAAGTGGGATGGGGTTGGGGTAGTCTCTTTGGCTTCTTTGTCTAGGTTCCTCAGTTTTTATCTTCGTTCCAGCCTGAGGTTTCCTCTAATTAAGCTCTTATTGTTTTCCAAATAATGAGATTCTCCCGGTTCTCTTGGTGCCCACAGGATTCTTTCTTCCTGTCTGTTTTCTCCCTATTGTCTCCAGCTCTCCTCTCTCAATGGCCTTTGTTTATCACTAAGTGCCTTAATATCTTTAGCTATGAGATGAAGCCTAGAGTCTCTATTGATTTATCTTTCTTCATCACTTTGCTTAAAAACAGTAATTACTTAAACCATCCTCCTCTAAAAGGTCTATCGATTATAGATACAAAATACCATAGGATTTTACTATTAGAGTTATAGATCATCTCATCCAATCTCTATTTATAGGAAGAAAGCTGATACTCAGAGAAATTAAATGACTTTGGGGTCACACAGCTATGAGTAGCAGAGCTAAGACTGGAATCCAGATCTAACTTCTAAGACAATGTTCTTAAAATTATGTTGGACTGACAGAGTAGGCTTTGCTTGAATGACTGGCTCTCTGATACGTGAGTCTCTGTAACGGCAGGATGTATACAAGTACCCAACTTATTGTAGTTACTCTAGCATTTGGCCAACTTTATCTTCTGTTCCCTTCCACTCTATTCTGCTCTGCTTTTCTCTACTTCCTCAGGGTATCCTTAGCCTAGTGGCTTTGGGTCCCTTCTGGGTGTGGTGTAGAGAGCATCCATTTGAATAGCACAGACTCTAATGACTTGGCCAGAGTGTGCAGGTTAAAATGAGGGTCAGTGAAAACAGATTGTAAACTCCATCTGTTTATTTAGTCCTGGTTAGAGACTTGTGATAAGCGTATACTCCAGAAACAAGGATCCAAGGATTATTCCAGCTACTATATTCTCAGGGTCTAGTCTTAGATCACTGGGTCACTTTGGGCAGGATAGTGTGCAACAGGATTGGGATGGGACAAGATTTATATCGTAAGGGCCATCTCTAAGACCAGCCATAGAAATCAGAATGTGTTTTCCTATCTGGGTTAGAACCTGAACAAGAATGTCACTAATAATCTTGCACTGAAAAACCCACGCTAAGAAGGTCATGATGCTTGGATGAAGAGCTAAACCTAGTTAAGGCTAATGGAGAAGGTAGAAACAGTGGTGGTAAGTGTCCTATAGGAGGAAGAAATTAGCAGTTCCAAATCCCGAGGCTCTCATTGCCCTGAGTTTCGTTCAGGCCATAAATCTATCATGAGGCTTAGTGTAGGTGCATGATGAATTGACAGCCTGAGCAGTGAAGTTTGTCAGTCCTGTGGTTATCATCCCCACTGCTGCACCATGGCTATCACAAAACAAAAATTGAAACAGAGTAGTTAGTAATAATAGAAAGTTCTAGGGGGAGTGGTGAGATAGCGACCCTGCTTATGGCCTGTAATGATAGCATCATTTCCCATCTTCATCTTTCAATCTTTCTCACACACACAAATACTTTGGGGGGTGGGAGTGGGGTGGGGGTGGGAGGAATAAGGCACTTTTCCCTAACCAATAAAGCTGGGCCTGTGCTAAAGCTGAGTACAGAGACTGAAATCCTAATCACAGGCCAAAAAGAGTTAGAGTAAAGGCATACAAGCATTGTTTTGTATCTAAGAAAAATCTAGAATGAGTCAGAATGAGTCTATATAGGCTATAAACAGGGCTATTCCATGAGGAGTAAGAATGATGAAGGATTTGGGATTTAGATAGAGTAGAAACTGGAGGGCATTGGCACTACTTCCTAAAGTTTGGAAAGACTTTCTGAAGGAATCAGGATTCTTCAAGATTGTTACCTTGTGGTTATCTATGGAAAATTACTTATCACTTAACTGCTGTACTTTCTCCTTCTCTTGAATGACTCTGGTCACAGTGTTTTATGTGACTTTGAGATTAGAGAGATCTGACTTGGCTCTGCCTGCTTTCTCTCCGCTCATTTCACTCAGCGTGGCATTTGATCTGAGGTATTCATGTCACCACTCTCCTGGGCCCCTTGTTATTGTCTCATTTCATGTGTTACTTCTCTGTAGAACCCTTTAGTGATTCCCTGATGTTCTCAGGATGAACTCTAGTTGCCTTAACATGGCCTACAAGGCCTGGTTGACTTGATCCTAGCTCACCTAGACATTATCTCTTGCCACTCCTCTGCTGTTGACTACACTCGACAAACTAAGGCATACTGCTTTTTTCCCTCCTGGCCTCCCATATCTTGTTACTTCTACCCAGAACACTGCCCCCGCTTCATGTAACTCTTTCTGATACTAGAGTTCTCAACCTAGCTGTCACCAGGAAGCCTTCTCCAAACGCCTAGCTTAGGCTCCTTCTCTTCTAGCTTACACAATGCTCTATATTCTCCCCATCACAGCCCTTACCGTACTGTATTATAATTACTTGTAATCTCTACCAGACTAAATTTTGTAAGGGTAGATATCTTACTTATTTTATTCACTGCTATATCACCAAGTGTCTATCTCAGTGCCTAGCACATAGTAGGCACTTGAGTAAATGTTTGATTAAAGAATGGGTGAATGAACCGAGTTTGTTGTTCTGTGACAGGAATGGGAAAAGGACAGCACAGGATGCCCTCCAAGGATGAGCTGGTCCAGAGATATAACAGGATGAATACCATCCCCCAGGTATTATTAGTTAACTGCTCTAGTGAGGCAAGACTCTTCTCCTAGGATAAGTTTAGGCTACAGAGATGGATGAGGAAACAATGGTGGGGAGGTGGGTGGTTTGAGGACCATTCGAAGGAATCAGGTAACATTCATTCTAAGATGAACACGCTTCCAAAGTCATGTGTGGTCTCAGTTATAAGTATGAAAGCAGAGACTGAGTTTAAATACAGTGACTTGAAAATGTAAAGGTGGAAGCTATGGACTCATCCAGACTGGTTATGAGAAAGCAAAATTTAGGGTGGGTGGTAGCTGGGAGTCCACGATATCCCTGAAATCTACCCCTAACCATCACCAGCTAACCGACCTCTCTAGGGAAAGCTATAACAGTCTGTCAAGCTCTACTGTCTTTCTCTTCCAGACCCGATCCATTCAGTCAAGGTTCCTGCAAAGTCGGAATCTAAATTGTATAGCACTTTGTGAAGGTAGGTAGCTCACCCAGTCTGTTTTTCTGGGTTCTAAAACTTTATCTCTGGTGCACCTATGGCAGTGATCCAACAACAAGGGTGATGTTGAAGCATCACGTTTTCCTTCCCCTGCCTGGACTCTGTGACTTAAGCATTATATTTATAACTTCTGCCCCACTTCTTCTCAGTGATTACATCTAAAGACCTCCAGAAGCATGGGAACATCTGGGTGTGCCCTGTGTCCGACCATGTCTGCACACGGTTCTTTTTTGTGTAAGTCTAGGAGATTACCTTGGGAATTACTCTGAGGGTGGGGTGTGCTGGTATGTGACTACTGGGAGAGTCTTTTTCTGTTATCTGAGACTTGTCCCTGGCTATCTGAGTGGAGGTGTCCTAGGACTTTTCCCTTGGAGGTTGGGGATGGCTATAGATCAGTCTGTTTAAAGGAAGCCAGATCAGTTGAATCTCTTCTACCCTAAAGAGTAGCAAGAAAGGCTTTTTACTTCTGGGATGGGATGGCCACACCTCCAAATAGTTTCACTGGTTGACATTATTCTGGTATTATTCTTCCTCTTATGTTCACACTTATCCTCTCTTTGGCAGATATGAGGATGGTCAGGTGGGCGATGCCAACATTAATACTCAGGACCCCAAGATACAGAAGGAAATCATGCGTGTGATCGGAACTCAGGTTTACACAAACTGAGGGGGCCCCAGCCCTCGTACCACCCCTGTCCCCTCCAGGATCCATCTGCCCTCATTAAAAGGCTCAGGAGCAGCAGGCAAGGCTGCCCTGAGGAATCAAGGGGCCATTTACAAGAGGCAGGAAAAGGGTAGAGGAGGCGGCCTTCATGGTGGTGATTGACCCAGGAACCACTCCATATTTGGATGGCCCAGACTGACTTCCTATCCCTGATTTTCCCAGTTGACTTCACCCTGTTTGTAAATAAAACAATAAAATGGAAGGTGCTGTGGACTGGAGATGATCACTGTGGTCTGACTGGCCTTGGCCCAGCACTTGCCCCAAGCCTCCAGATGGGGGTGAGTGCGAGCAGAGTGAAAGATCCCAACATTTGGGACTATTTATGTTGGGTGGAGTCAAAGCTGAGTCCATGTAGTGTAGTGTTCTGCAGATCTGTCAACATTTTTATGAATGGATTAGATAAAGAATGGAAAGTTAAGTTATGCAGATGACACAAACTGAGAAGGATGTAGAATACCACTGATTAACTGTTTCTCAAGATTTAGAAGGACCATTGAGGCCAAAGCAGCTCAGATTTCCTACCTCTGGAAATTAGGTAAGACAGATTAAGACCTCTGCTTTCTGCACAAAACCTATCCACTGTCCCTTGCTCTATACCTCTGGGTCTGGGCCCTTATTCTCTTCTTCCTTCTAGCTATTTCCTTGGGATAGGGAGGTAGGGGGAGAGCTCACAGGTGCAGAGATTTGGGTTGATGTCCAACTTGAAATCTATAAAGAGATCCTAAGGAAATGCAGCCTCCATAATGAAACAAAATCCAGATTCTCTAAGGCTAGCAAGGTGAAGGAAGACAGCTGTTTCTAGGAGATCTAATTGTTTCAGTGAAATCCATTTCTCTGTTGAAATTCCCACTGCAAGCCTCTGCTGGCCTTTCAGGCTGTGCTCCATGTACTTGAATCCCTAAGTTTCTTGTAAGAGACAGGTTGGACATTGCCAAATAGTATATGAAATATTAAATGAAGAAAAATATAAGCACGGAAGATTTAAAAAGCATTTAGACAAACCTGACTTTTCAAGTACAGGCATACCTTGGAGATACTGCAGGTTTGGTTCTAGACCACCAAGATAAAGTGGGTCGTTCTTTTTGCTGGTGAAGGATCTTGCCTTCAGTTTGCAAAATATACATCTGTGAAGTGCAAAAAGGAAGCACAATAAAACCAGGTATGCCTGTACAGGTTTTTATTCTGTTATAGCTTCTTGATTTATGAAGCCTGTGCTAGATCAGTTATTTTCTTTCATTACCTTCACCCTACTTTGGAGATAACCTTTGTCCTGGTACCTGCTTTAGAGTTCCTGACTTGGCCTTAACTTAGAAGTACCATTCTTAAGGTCCATCCCCCTTAGGAGCTGTTTCTTTAACTTTACTTATTCTTGATCAAGATTACTATATTCTGACTCTACAAGTCTCCTAAGGCTCTCTGCTTCATTCTGGTTTCAAGTCTAGCAGAAATCCGCTTCACTAAGTAAATGACCCCATCGGGGATCCCACTTTATTGAAATTCTTGCCTCTTGAGAAGACCCTTGCAGCTTATCTGCATAGTTATCAGAGATAACTAACATCTTTTAGGCCTTACTAGGTTGGTGCTAGGCATTTTGCTAAGTGCCTTAATAATTTGCTTTAGCTTAGTATGTGTTTGGCATAGTTGTAAGGTCTCTACATATAATGACTAATATAATTCTCACATCAAGCCTATGAAAATGTTTCCCATTTTGTAGATGAGAGAACAGAGGCACAGAGGTTAAATGACTGCCCATGTTTTACAGCTAGTGACTGACAGGCATCCTGACTCCCAAACTGCTGGTTCTGTGCTGTATAGCTTTTCAAATTTTACAAATGTTTTCATTTAATCCTGGCAACAAAAGGTGGAAGGGAAGGTAGGCTTTTTTTAGAGATCTTAAATAACGTATCTGAGGTCTCTGAGCTGGTTAGTGGCCATGCAGAGTTTTTAACCAGATCTGCCCGATTCTAGAATCTGAGCTCATAACCATTCTTTTACTATCCCAGAGGCTCTCAAACTATTCCCACTGGTGTTCCAGCAACTGAACCTATGTGCTTGGCTACTCAATTGGTGTAACTTTTTTTTTTCTATTTTCAGAAATTTTTAATAGATTTTTCTCTGTTGTAAGCATTTATAATTTTTTTTATTGGCAGATGACAGTACTAGTTAGAGAATGAGAAGTAATGAACAGATAGTGTATATTACCAGAAAAACTCAAATACCTGGGTGTCATTTTTTTTTAGAACATATATATGATAATGGTCTTTTATGCCAATAAAAATAATGAAATTAAATATAGCAGGTCCTCAAATAACAACTTTATAATGTCGAGATGCCATAGAACTTAATTCTTGTTTATATCAATTAGCCCGTGGGACAGTTGGTCTAGTTTTATGTTAGCCAGATCTGAGCAAGAGATTATCATCCTTCACAGAAGCCAAGGCTGTTAAAAATCCTGCCTGCAGAGGTTGACAGTGGCCTACTTTTCATAGTCCTAGGCTCAAGCAGCCTTATTTCATTTAGACCTGCTTAGTTAGGGCTAGGGCCAGGGCCAGGACCAGGGCCAGGAAAAGAACTGTTTTCCTCACAATTAGTTCCAGGTGGAGTAGGTGGCTGTGATTTATGGATAGAGAACTCACAAACCCTGGGAGTTTAACTTCTTCCCTCTCCTGGTAAGTTTCCATCCATGCAGGGTGTGGCCATGACTCAGTTTGTGGTGAGGATATAGCCATCCGTAGGGGAGGAGCCTTCTGCTCCATTCTGTCTTTCATTCTAGGCAGCAGGGAAGAAGAGGAAAGAGTCTGGTGCTGAGTCATAACTGAGTAACTTAACAGCTCCTCACAAGATGGATTCTGAGATGAAGGTTTGGAAGATGTCTCAGCTTCTAGGCCCAATATGGGAGTGTTAGGATGGAATTAAGGAGTCGCACAATTCCCTCAGAGTCCTCCAACCCCAGAATGGACGGGAATAAAGTAGGCTTCAATTCATTTGAAAAGGCATCATTTTCTGTCTATAGGAGAATATTTCCATAAATATTTCAGAACCCCTCTTGAATAGGGCCAAAGATGCCACCCTTTAAGTTAAAGCATTGCCTACGAAAATTATTTAGCAGAGACCAAAGTCTCCTGGTCGTAGCTGTCCTTTCCAATTTAAGTGGGTCAGGTTAGCTGGTAGCTAGTGAATGCAAAGGTGGAGACTAGAAGCATGGTGCCAAGGAAAAGCAAATTTTGAGCTGCAGCAAGAGGACTTCTGAGGAAGGGGGCACTTGATCCACTGCTCACTGATGCCTTTCTTGGTCTTCCAAATCTTGATAACTTTGGGGGGCTAGGATCTGCTTACAACTGCAAGTTA